TTAACTCCAGACCTTGGGTTTATAAAAATATTGGGATGTGTGAAATTTTAAGATAATTGGATTCTTACTTCACGTTTTATAAGAGTTATATTTATTAAATATTGGGGGTGGTACCAGAAGGAGTGGACCGATATTGCCCATCTCCAAACTCAATCTAAGTTTGACAGATATATTACGATGTACCAAGTTCGAACCAAATCGGAGACTCCCTTCGAAAGTTATGGTGCGCACCAATCAGAAAGACGGACGGACGGACATCGCTAGATCGACTCCAAATGTCCTGCAACGGATTTGATCCAAATAGACCTAGGGTCAAAATCCGTTATTTCGATGAGGCATGTTTTGGCCGTATCAAAGAATAGCCATATGGCTGAGCGTGTAATGAGGAGATGATATGGTCTGTGTCATATCTGAGGGGTAGCAGCTCCGGGCAACAGTGACATAATTGTCAAAATCTAGATCGGTATGTTGAAAAAATATGGGTTAATGCCGTTATATACATTTGATAGTTGGAAACTCCTCTTACCTCATAAACTTACAATTATGGTTATAACATAGATGTACGTGAAGATAAATTCAAAATTTGTCTGGCGAAGTCACAAATCACCAGAATTCTATTCAGGTCCAGAAAAGGTTAACAAACAGAAGGCTAAATCGAAAGTGTTTGTGAAAATTAGATTAATCGATTATTGTAAGTTATAGGCATAAATAATTCCGGGATTTTTTCGAAACTTCTAGAAATTTATAGCTCTCTTTGGGAAACTTACGGTTAAAAGGGTACCCTTAAAACGGAGCCTAATTCCGATTTTTTTTCTATAAAGTATAAGTTCTATAAATGCGGAAAGTGAGACTTTTTATTTGAGCTTTGTCCCAACACTGTACCAGTTTTTCTTATTTTACTTTGAGCTTTAAATGAGAAGTTAATTGGGTCCATTTTTTTCTGGATGTTATTATTTATTTCAATATTTATGTATTTATTAATCAAATTTTATTTTAGTTTATAATATTTGTAATTTTTTTCTTAAATTTGCTCCAAACTGCCTTAAATTTCCCTCCCAATCACTCTCTCCCCATCTTAATTAACCCTTTCTGAACTCAAGTAATATTGGGATAGTTTGTGTCTTTACTGGACAAAATTTAAATTTATTTTACCAGACCATCGTTTACCGATTTTCTTCTAATGCTTCAATATTATTAACCGATTTCGTAAATTGTTGTTGTCTCACAGATTATGATTAAAGTAACTACTGATCTTTTTCTGAAATCAAATTCAGTCATTTATAATAATAGCATTTCTATTTGTAGTTTCCAACGCATATTGCTCTTTATGTCATAAGTGAAAACAGAATCTTTGCCGCTCATGGCGAACACCTTTATCAGTTCTAATTCCTTCAAGTTTAATTGTTTTTTTTTATTTATTTTCATTTGTAATAAATATTTTACGATGAATTCAATGTCACCTCAAGACAATAGTGGGGACAACAATGCGTTTGACACGACATCGCTTCGTTATCGCTACTGTCGGAGCCAACACTGACTCACACATTCACTTTCGCAGGGAGAGGGATTTCAAAAAGCAAAAAAAAAAGGAAAAAACAAAAGATTTCCATTTCAACAGATCGGCCAGAGTTAAATCATACAGAAGCTAAAGAGGAGAATCGCAGCCACAACAAGAACAAAATTATGAATACATTAAAAATGATGAGCAGTGATGTAATGCATGTCAAAGAATTGTTCCGAGCTTGGCGCTTGGTGGTTATCTCGCAAACATTCCCAAAGACATGTGTAATTAGTTAGCCCCAAATCAGTCGACTGACTGGTTTCATTTAAAAAAATGAAATTTACTCTTAAATCAACAACAAGAACAACAAAAGCAAGATGTAAAGTGATGCTGCTGATGACAGAGGGAGTTGTGCGAGGGAGAGAGATAATTATTTTCTTATTTTCTGCAATAAATGTTTAGTCTGCTGCCAGAGCAACCGACCACAGAGCAACTTCAAAGACATTTAAAGATTTCAATTTACCGAGTTATCTTATCAATGTCTAAATCTTCATTTCACATGCCGCTGTTAAGATTTTTGTTTTCAGCATTTTCGTTTTGTTCGAAATGCCGCTTTGCTTATTTGAATGGCGGTGAATGTGCTCTGCACCACGATGCCAGTTAAGTAGAAGAGTAAAAAAAACAAATCTATGTTTGTCTGTAACTTTTTTGTTGTGAGGTTATGTGGACAGTTTGAGGCTTTATTTAAATGAGTTCATATGGGTTAATTTATCGCTCTCAGGTTAATTAGTAACTATAAACCAATAATTCTCCGCCGAAAAATTAGACCCTGTGCTTCGTTACTCATTATTTTGTAAGGTTGAAAAGGTTTATTTGCTCAATAACCTTTAACTAATAACCCATTTTTTCTTGACTTACTGGTAATGCAGAAGATGGGTAGTCATTACCTTGTAATGTGGGGCTTGTCTATTGCCAAAATTCTGAATGGTTTTTGAGTTCTCATGTTTACTTTTTATAACATTCAGCCATATTGCTAGAGAGGGCACATATAATTCGATAGGTCAAAAAGTGCCTCATCGAAAAAAACGGTTGTAGATCCTAGGTCTCCTTGGACCAAATCCATTTCAGGACATTTGGAGTTGATCTAGCGGTGTCCGTCCGTCCGGAAAGGTCTGGCTGGTGCGCACGATAACTCTCGAAGGGAGTAACCGATTTGGTCGAAAACTTACATAATAACTTACATCATAATATTATTGTCAACTTAGATTAAGTTCGGAGATGGGCAGCATCGGTCCACTTTTTATTGTACCTCCTCCTCAAAAAGTTAAAATTCTCAAAGCAAATAATTTACCTTATAAAAATAGAAAGGATCAACAGATTTTGCTCAAACCTGGTAACTGTAGGTCAGAAAATGGATAATGTAGGCCTACTCCATCAAGTGTCTCCCCCACAAAGGGTCAAAAGTTGGAATAATTTTAACCTTAAAAAATAGAAATAAGAGACCGATTGTCCTCAAATTGCACATATCCCAAATCGGACAACCCGTTCTGGTACCTTCCACCACATCAAATTTTGGAAGATTTATATGTCTCATAAAATGTTATCAGAATTTTAAAGGATCAGATGCACATGAAAAGCAAAATAAGGCTCCGAATCTCTTAAAATTTCGCATATCTAAATATTTTTACTCCTTCCTTTTTCATATTTTACCCAAATAGAAATCTGATGTGAATATGGAATTTAGCGGTCACCTTCTCCACAAAAAGTTAAAGTTTTATTAAGAAAATTTTGCATAAAATTAGAGATAATTGTGCGATTTTTTTATATTTTGCAGATCCCAATATTTTTAAAAGAGTTAGAGGAAATAAATACAGCAGTACCCTACAGGGTGAGATAAAAAACTGTAACAAAGTAAAACGCCGTAATTTTTACATTTTTTTGATTTTATTGAATGAAAGCAAAAAATATTTAAAATAGTGTCAAATTTTAGAAAAAGTTTAGATTTGTTCGACTTGGCGAAGCGCTTGCTTGAGGTGATCGACACTTTGGTATTTTCTAGTGCCAACCTGGCTTTCCAAAATTCTCCAGACACTCCGGATTGGTATACGGAGATTTTGGTGATCACTGTGTGTTGGAAATAAAGCGAGAAACCTCATTTTGTAACCATTCTTGGGTCCTGTTGGAATGTCCAAGGTCTGCGGCCAAACTGTTTGCGTGCCCAAGGCTTTAATACACCCTCCAGAATATTTTCGCGATAATCAGCATTTATTCTGATGCCACGGTCGATTAATACGAGCGAAGAGCGACCATCGGCTGTTATGGCGGCCCACACCATCACTATGGCCGGCGCTTGAGTTCTGGTGGCCAACCAAAGGTGCACATTTTCAGCTGACCTCTTTGTCAAATAAACACGATCATTTTGTTTGTTTACAAACTGCTGGACAACGAATATTTTCTCATCGGAGAAAACCAAATTCGGCAGTTCACCACTTTGGGTCATCTCACCCTGTATATATTAAATATACATTTCGGGGGCCTACCCTACGTCCCCAATGGGAGCTAATCTAATTCAAAACCTACTGCCACGAAATTTAGCCAAAGGTATTTCTAGGATGTAATTATATCAGTACATATCGCTTTGGGGAATTAAATATCTAATCGGATGAAATATATGTGGGAGTTATATCTAAATCTGATGCAATTTCAACAGGGTTTGTGCTCGGGCAATATGCAAAATTTCACGAAAAATAAATCGACTAGAAAGTGATTTTATCTAAAAAATGTGTAAAATGGCTTCAGCATCTAAAACTTTGACCTCGAATTAGGCTGTTACAAAAGCATTATCAAATCGAAAATATTCCCCCTGAGCCTCACAAATGCAAAGGGTGTTGGTACTACAGGAACAACAACTACTATGCTTTGTTGAGAAACAAAACAATGATTTGTTTACATTTTAATGAGAAGGGTAATCCATCTCACTTCATTGGCATGCACTCTCTCACTGGCGACATGTTGAGAGCGGATGCGCCAGCAACATTCGCCGAAGCGTAAACAAACAACATTGTGGATGTTATGTTGCGCGTGGTTGATGTAATGGAATCCGTTATGCAGTTGGAACAGCTGATTTTTGTTTTGATTCGCATAGGGTAGCAGCATAACACTCACAGCTATGTGTGTGTGTGTGTATGAGTTGTGTACTAGCCAATGTGGATTGTATCGCATCAATGAACGGTGGTGATGGTGGTGGCTGCGTAACAACATGTTGCTACGTTTTATGTTGCGCATGTAACTGCATTCGTTCGTTGCTTTGTACGACGAAGTGCTGGCCCGAATGTAACTAAGCCAGAACACAAACAACAACAATGACAACGACAGCAGCAGCAGTGCTTTACTTGCTTGCTTTGCTCTATGTTTCAGACTCTTTGTTTTTGTTTACATGTTTTGAACGCATGGACGTTGTCTGCGATGGCTGGATGATTTTCAATTTCAGTTTTTTGCTTGACTTCGTGTTTAACTGTTCGTATTGACGGTGGAATTTTCAAAACCAAACGGCAACAATTTAAAAAAAAATAATCATATTCTCTGAGAGTCACTTACCAGAGGCACATTACAAATAAAATTATTTACAACAACAAAACAAAAAATAAAAGAAGATATTGTCATTTTTATGCTGCCGCTGCTGAATGGCAACAAACGGTGTTTTTGTTTTGGAATTTTTCCCTGCTTCTAAGCAGCAAGTGTGAGTGCGTGCGAGCGTGCGAATGAATGTGTGACGGCATTTTGACCCAGACCAGAAGTGAAAGATTAACAAATTCCAGTGGTGAATAATATTTCGGCTTAATTAGAATTTATGTGAAAAAAAATCTTTGATTGATTTATTGAATGGCCTTTCAAAAAATTGTGTGTGAGAGTAAAACCAATCTCTTGTAAAGTGTTCGCCAGTCTAAGTGGATCTGTGTGCGTGTGAATGAACTTGAAAATTGTTTGACAACCACGACAACGGAAAACGTAAACAAAAAAACTAAATGTGTGCGCTTAGAGTAATCAAAGCTTCAAAATTGCATAAATTACAATTCAAGTTCTTGTAAAGCGAAGGAGGAAATCTTTCGCAACCGCAGCAAAGTAGCAACAACAATTCAATCGCTAATACCACATTTTTGTGTTGGCTGCTGTGTGGAAACTTCAGAAACGTTGTCGGTCTATCGGTCGGTCGGACGTCGGGTTAGAAGCCGCAAGTTTGTTTACCCGCAAAAATAAAGGTGCGTTTCTTGAAGCCATTTGGCAATTACATTCAAGTGGTTGTCTGTCTAACTGACTGTCATGTCAGAGGCAAAATTGTGTTTAATTTTCTTTTGAAAATTGTGACAACAAAAGAAGTGCTCACTCAATCTCAAATAAAACGAAAATAAAAAAATTAATGAATTTAAAGTGATTTGAATTTGAAACGAAAAAGGAAGAGTTATCAAGAAAAAAAAATTAAATTAAAAGAGGTGTTCTTAAGTGCTTTTTGCTAAAAAAGATCATAAATTTCAGTTTAAAAATCGTTGGTCCCAAAACAATCTTTACGACCACAAACGAATATAAAAACAACATTCTCCTTGACAGGATGAAAGCATTAAATATGGACTTTTACCCACAACCATCTGCGGCATTATCTGCCGCCTCAACTCTCTCATCGAAATCTTGGGATCATATGCCACGCAGGCGCAGAAGATTCATGGGCCAGATGAATTTAATGTTATTGATGTTTCTGGGCTGCTGTATCGGTGCGATTTTATGGCCCCAGTTTAGTGTTGCTGCTGCCGCATCGGATTCCTCACTGCAAGACTTTGGATCCGTTACTGGGAAAGGTGAGAACATCTTTATGCTTGCCAGCAGCAGCAGCAACAACAACAACAACAACGGTGATGATCTTGGCAATGCCTTTCCCGGCTCCATACAAGGCAAAGGCCATGCATTCGACGACGACGATGACGGAGACGACGATGATGACTATGGCGATGGCGATGACAACAATCAAGGTGATGCAACTAATGCTGCAAAAATGCCACTAATGTCAAATGCCAGAAAAGAACAAGCATCGATCGACGAAGACATAGAAATGATGCAACGCTCACCACAATCTTCTAACATGCCAGTGCCCGCAGATCTCAACAAGCCACAATCTGAAAATAATCGTCATCTTAGATATCAGCAAATACAGCAAGCTCTGCGAGAACCCATAACACCTTTGCCTCCCAAACACTATCATCAGGGGCATCACCATCGTCATCATCATCAGCAGCAGCATCACAACAACCACCACCAGCAACAACATTATCGTCATCATGGCAAACACACGGCCGAGGACAAGAAGGAGGAGCAGGAGGATGAATTTAAATGGCCCTTGCCACCACCTCGTTCCAGGCAACACTACGAGCATCATCAGAGGCAACAACATTTGCGCCATCATCAACGACAACATTTGCATCACCACAGACGGCACAATTTCACTGGCACCGCAACAACAACCAGCTCCACAACGACAACCACAACTATGAGACCCCGTTATTTTGATCGCGACGGTTTGTACAGCAATTCCATGGCCTGGTTGCCGCCAACCACTCAAGGGCCCCTGCACGAGGAGGATGGGGAAGGAGAGGGTGAAGGCGGAAAACAAAACAAACATTTCTATAATCCCCATAATCGTTTGTTCAACGATGGCGAGGACGACCGCCAAAAACAGCAGGAGGACAAGGAACAGGAATTCAAACGCATTTCGCTGTCGTTGGATGCCCAAAAGGATAGCTTAGCCGGGGATAATGGCGATAATATCTTAAAACTCGATAGCGCCGATGATGAGTTGGACGATGATGATGACGACTATTCCTACGAAGATGACCTTGAAGATGTGAACACCAAAAATAAGAGTCCTCCTGTCGGAGGGCCCAATGCTGCAAAAGTCAATGTTAAACGTTACACGGCCCCAAACAGAAATCCCTATAAGCCCTCCGTCTCCTCCTATGGCTCCCGGAAACGTCCACAGCCACCCGCACGAAATGCCTTTGATGAAGACTATGACAGCCCAGCTTCAAATGACAACAACAACAACGAAAATGATGATGACACTTTTTCCGATGAGAAATGGAATAAAATTGAACACGAACACTATCGCAAACAGCAACAACATCAAAGAGCCATGCAGGCCTTGCGTTCGCGGCGACCATCGACAGGACCCGCAACTCTGGATAATTCTCCCAACAGCGTCAAGAACAATAAATACTCTTCCTCTGCTTCTTCATCATCATCACCGGTGGTACTTTCGAAATCAACAGCATCAGCAAAGCGTCCAGTTGTAAATGAGGTAAGTGTCGTATTTTATCTCCCAAGCCAACCCTAACACCCCTTGCCTGGTGATCTGAAGACCTTATCAGTTCCAGTTCACAAAAAAGTGTCATTTGCTGCTCTCTGTGCACCTCCCCCCTCCCCCTTTTTTGTTAATTTCGAAAACAGCAGGCAACAAAAAACTATTTACAAAAACAAAAAAGCAAAGCACTTGTGTTTGTTTAACGCTTAAGCGGCGTGCAATGACAGCGGTGGCGGAGCAGCCAATAGCTTTGTAATTCCTCCAACAATAACTATAACAACGACAACAAAGGTAGAGGAACCGTTTTGTAGTTTCCATAGCATTAACCCCGCCACAATACACTTGGAAAAAGGTGTTTATTTTAATGCAGGTTAAACGGGGTAAGGATATAATGATCATTGTTTTTAGGGAATATAAATAGATAAAAAAACTTCAACAAAGTCAAACGCCATAATTTTTACATTTTTTTTTAATTTTATTGAATGAAAGCAAAAAATGTCGGAAATAACATCAAATCTTAGAATAAGTTTAGATTTGTTCGAATAGGTCACCTTTGCACGAATTATGGCCTTCAAACGGCCAATGAAACCGTCATACGCTGCCCGAATGTTGCTCTGCGATATTTTGGCCCACTGACCGACCCTTTGGTATTTTATAGTCACAACCTTGCTTTCCAAAATACTCCAGAAACAATAGTCCAACGGATTGGTATTCGGAAATTTTGGTGACCGTTGTGTGCTGGAAATGAAGCGAGGAACCTTATTTTGTAACCATTCTTGGGTAGCACGAGTGCGATGTGGCTGAGTCCTGTTGGAATGTCCTAGGTCTGCGGCCAAAATGTTTGCGTGACCAAGGCTTCAATACACCCTCCAGAATATTTTCGCGATAATGTTCGGCATTTATACTGATGCCACGGTCGATTAATGCAAGCGGAGAGCGACCATCGGCTGTTATGGCGGCCGCCCACTATCACCATGGCAGGCGCTTGAGTTCTGGTGGCCAACCGAAAATGCGCATTTTCAGCTGACCTCTTTGATTGTTCACAAAGCTGGACAACGAATATTTTCTCATCGGAGAAAACCAAATTCGGCAGTTTACCACTTTCGGCCAAGCGAAGCAACTCTTTAGCTCTTTTGAGCCCATTTTCTTTCTGTTGCGGTGTAAGTTGTTGCACTTTTTGGAATTTCAATGGTGTTACCCCGAGCTGATTTTTCAATATTTGCCGATATGTCCAGCTCACGAGCCATTTTTCGGCCACTGCGACGCGGGTTTCGGTCAAGTCGCTGCTTTACTTTTCGAACCATTTCTGCGGATTTTCCTCTTTTCTTCCGTCCACTTCCTTGACGTTGGGCTACGCTACCAGTATTGCTATGTCGAAAACCCGTTACTAAATAATGGGTTTATCATTTTTATTTTGTTTCCTGATAAAGGGGTTGAACTGGCGATCTTCTATTTAACAAATCAAAATTCTTCGAAGATTCTAACTAGCGTCCTTACGTTTTGTAGTCGAATGTGCTTACTCTGTGCTGCCGTTACTCATTACTTAGTGTTATAAAAATAATAAATTTTGCTTTGTTAGTTTTTCAAGAATAAGTCGGTATAATTTAGCTCACAGGTAATGCAGAGGGCATGTAATTGTCATTACTGGTAAGGCTAAAAATTGCACATACATTTTCACAACTGTCGGACGAGTGGCTAAGAAATGACAGCAGTCTGAAGTTGGTTGCAGTTTTTTGTCCTCTTGTTATTATTCTCATTCCATTAGCCCAAAGGCTGATTTCGTGGTCATACCCTTTATTGGGGATAGTTGACCAAATTGTTAAGGATTTTTTCAGGATAGGATTCATAGCGACTACCCACTTATACAAATTTCCTCCTGAATTACACAAGAGTATATATTTCGGGATTCATTTTCCACTGTGTATAAACTCCCTGTAGTCTGTAATGCACTTCCATTCACATGGATCTCGTGCTGCTGCTGTGCTTTGACAATAAATTGCGTAGCTAGTTGTTGTTGTTTTTATTGGCGTAATGTGACGATGGCTATGCGACAGATCATCAGCCGGTCTATTTAGCCAGTCAGCCAGCCATCCCCGCCAGCCCCACTTACTCACACGTCTGGGCATTCGTCATCCACATTTCCAGATACATAGATACATTGTTCGCTCAACAGGAGATGGTTGGATGTATGAATGCCGTGCTAAAGGTTGATGCGCACTTTGTTGTTTTATTCATTGGTCTCGCGTTTTTGTTGTTTTGTTCTAGCCACCACTTTATGTTCGTTCTTCATTTTCATTGTTGTTTTTTATTTTTTTTTTGTTCATTGCATTGTATTTTATTTTATTCGATTTCAGTTTTGTGGTCTATAGTAATTTGTTTAATCATTAATCGTTCTTTTTTTTGTTTTGTTTTCCAACTGGATTGTAAGTTTCGTTTTTATTGTGGGTCTTTGTTTTCGTTTTTTTTCTGTTGCAATTACTATTAAATAATTGATGAAAGGGTATCTGGTGTTGTTGTTTTTGCTGTTTCATATGATATGATGGAATGTAACAACAATAGGGTAGGTGGGGAAGGAATTGTATGGGCCCAATTCCGCGTATAAGAATTGGTAATGTTGATCCAATAGCGAAATATGTTAGGGGGTTTCCAGCAATTGATCGGAAATTAATTTATTATCAGAAATTGGAAATCAGGTTAGAGGAAATTACCTAGAATTGGGTTTCCTTTGCATAAATGTATCTATTTGTTTTTTTTCTGTTTTGGCTATACAGCCAATGCTTGAATGGGTAGTTGCTCATAAATAAATGCTAATGAAAAGACAAAAGACTTGAAACAAAATATATGATACCTACCACAAAAGCGTAAATGCCTCTGGGGCATTGACTTCCAATTGTTGAGGAATTCAAAAATGTAGAACGATTTTTATACTAATTTCCTGCCATAAAACCCCGCAACACAATAGGGTTACATGGGCAGGTCGAAACTTTATTACCATTACCGCCTAATTATGACATCTCAAAAAATAACCCTTTTTTTATTGGGTTCTATTAATTGCTTATGGTTTAATGATACGCTCATTTTCGGATTAGAATCCCAAATTGGTTGCAGTCGAAAACAAGGTCTGGCTGTCTGATTACTTTGAAATACCATAAAACATCTCACCAAAGGGTGAGATAAAAAAACTGCAACAAAGTCAAAAGCCATAATTACTATTTTTTTTACATTTTATTGAAGAAAACCAATGGTTAGCGTCAAATTTTAAAATAAGTTTACATTTGTTCCAATTGGTCAACGTTGGCACGAATTATGACTTCAAACGGCCAATGAAACCGTCACACGCTGCCCGAATGTTGCTCTGCGGTATTTTGGTCCATTCCCGGCGAAGGGCTTACTTGAGGTGATCGGCACCTTGGTATTTTTTTAGTGCCAACCTTGCTTTCCATACTCCAGACACAACAGTTCAACAGATTGATATCCGGAGATTTTGGTGGCCATTGTGCGCTGGAAATGAAGCGAGGCACCTCATTTTGTACCCATTCTTGGGAGGTACGTGCTGAGTGCGATGGTGCTGAGTCCTGTTGGAATGTCCAAGGTCTGCGGCCCAAAGCTTTAATATACCCTCCAGAATATTTTCACAATAATACTCGGTATTTGTTCTGATGCCATGGTCGATTAATACGAGCGGGAGCAACCATCACCATGGCCGGCGCTTGAGTTCTGGTGGCCAACCGAAGTTGCACATTTTCAGCTGACCTCTTTGGCAAGTAAACACGATAATTTCGTTGCTGGACAACGAATGTTCTCATCGGAGAAAACCAAATTCTGCAGCTCACCACTTTTGGCCAAGCGAAGCAACTCTTTTTAAGTCCATTTTCTTTTAGTTGCGATGTAAGTTCTTGCACTTTTTGGAATTTCAATGGTTTTACCCCGAGATAATTTTTCAACATTTGCGAATTGAATATTGCGATATTTTCAGCTCACGAGCCATTTTTCGGCCACTGCGACTCGGGTTTCGATCAAGTCGCTTCTTTACTTTTCGAATCATTTCTGCTAATGTTGCTGTTTTCTTCGGTCCACTTACTTGACGTCGGGCTACGCTACCAGTACCACGGTAACGAGCGATGGCACGAGACACAAAATATTTATTCACATTTAAATGCTGGAGTGCTCTAACGATAGCCACTTTTGGGTTTTCAGCCAAATATAAAGAAATCACACTATCCTACTTGAATTCTATTACGAATAACTTTTTTCTGGAAAATTCTCACCAAAACAATACGCTTGTAAACAATATAATGAGCTGTCACTGGAATAATTTTAACAGCTGTCGGACGAGTGGCTTAGAAATGACAGCAGTCTGAAGATGTTTCATTTTTTTATCTTATCCTGTAGTCCATGCTCCACTAAATATCAGCCCCAATATTCCATCAAATAACAATTTGCATATTCCGAACTACAGAAATTGCCATCAGAAACTTGTAAGAAAATCGTCTACGCCCTTAATAACATGATAATCAGTATATTTAGATGTTATTTGGATGTTGTGCATGGATGGCCCAAAGCAAGAAAGCCATGCGTAGGTACCTCTATTCCCCTATCTACGCCTACCTCCCTCCCTCCCTCCCTCCCTCCCACTCTTCCGCATTACCAGTTCAAGATGCTAACTAACATCAAAAAGGCAGCAATTTTTTTGTTATCTACCTCAGCATCGTCTTGAGGCTGTGCCCAGTCAGCCGACCAGCCACCACATGTTTTGTGGTTAGCCCCAGCCAAGAGACATCGTTGTAATGTCAGTTTCTTGGTCAGTCAGTCAGCTAGTCGGTCAATCAGTTAGTAAAAGATGGTTAGTCGGATGAAGCATGGATGGCTAGGAAAAAAAAATAAATTGGCGTGGTGACCGTCTATGCATTCATTGTCTGAACGACCGTCTGTCTGTCGATCTGTCTATGTCTTGCAATGTCAGTTTATTACAAATCAGTTTTCAAACATTATCCATC